GACATTTGCGTATAACAGAGTGCCCTGGATTTAATGTGTCGCCTTGTTAGTGTCTAATTCTTTTTTGTATTAAGTCTTTTTTAAATTCCCAACAATCTCTATTACCCTTGACAGTTGACCTAATTTCATCAGTTTCAGTCTTCCTGTCATGGTCTGTGGACTTCTAGGTCACTAATCAATGGAGGATCATCAGGTAATTCATGTTGGAAAGGACCTGGGGAGGTTCCTAGCACAACCTCCTGCTCAAAGCAGATCAGCTCTTAGATCAGAGCAGGTTGCTCAGCACTATATCCAGTCTGGTCCTGAAAAACCTCCAAGGATGGAGATGACACAAGCTCTCCAGGCAACCTGTTCGTCAGTGTTCCCTTATATCCGGTTCTAAACCTCTGTTGTTTCAAATTGCTCCCAGTGTCTGGCTCCACCTTCTTGATGACCTCACTGTAGGAGTTGGCAGGTTGCTGTTAGGACCCTGGTGCTCCTGGGTAGTCTCCCATCCAAGTACTGAGTGTGCCCAACCGTGCTTTAGTTTCAGAGATCAGGGGAGCTCAGGGACGTTGCGTGGCGTGACCACAGGCAGATGCGAGCCAGTAGTGCTGCTGTTTTGTTTCTGGAGGAATTTCACTGTTAACTTGCTGAAAATTGTCCCTGCGTCCCTTCTCTGTTGAATACAGTTTGGTCTTAAGTGATTTCTAGTCTGATACAACTTCTCACTTTATGACAACTGAGCTTCTCTGGCAGCCTTTTGTAAAGGTTTTGTCAAAGGATTTCTGAAAGTCAACACTAATTACACGTACCAGTGTTCCTCACTGCTAATTTGACACACTTCAGGAATTCTAATAGAGCCCATCAGAGACATGACCTCCCCTTGCAGAAGCTGTGCTGCTTTGTCACAATGGTAATTTGCCTGGTTAAGTACTCTGTAGCTCTGCAATGATCGAGATTTACCTTTTCATGTAATTAACCCAGGTCTGATGCAGGACTTTCTGGTCTGTCTTGATAAGATTTTCTCTCTCCAGTGTTTCCCTTTAAAAACAGACACCACATTGCCTGCCCTCTAGTCTTGTGAAGCAGGAGCTGGGTTTTTTTTTGTGATAGGTAATGTATTTTTGGTAGCAGCTCAGGCAGTGTGTTTATGAGTTCCTGGAGAGTTTTGAGTGAGTGCCAGCCAGTAGAGATGACATGCTGCAAACTGAAGTGATTTGGATGTTCCATGAGCAACGTGGTCTCCTGAAGTTTTCTGTGCCTCCTCCATGCTGCCCATGCAGAAGGGGTCGGTGGGGTCTCCCACTCATCGCTGTGGAAGGACTATGTAAGCAACGTTCCAGTTTACTTCACTGCAGCCGCTAGCCTTTACCAGCAACTTTTTTTGGCGAGGTTTCAATGGTGCTTTCTTTGCCCACAATGGTTGGTGCCAGTTTCAGGAAACTTTTGTTTCAGAGAGGCTTTTTCTGGCAATGTGGTGACCTATATGCAAACAAATGCACAGCATGTTCTTTTGAGCCAGAGAAAGGCTTGCTAAGACATTCTCTCTTCAGTTTGAAGAAATACCAAGTGTGTAGCAATGATTTCCATGAAGAAGGTTCTGCAAACTCAGCATAATACTGAATTCAGCAAAAAATTATGCACTTTGAATTAGCACTGTGTAAAAGACTTCCAGCCTGGCTTGCCTCAGAGTTCAGAGTTAATACCAGATCCCTGTTTTTCTCTTCCAAGGAGAGGAAAAAAAAAAAGTTGAATTTTGTTAATTTTCTTGCTCCTACATGCCAAAGCCCTATGGTGACCTTTTCTCTTTGCGCTCTAAACCCTTTCCCTGTGAAAATGCACAATATACTTCCCACTGCAGGGTTTCACCATCTTGCTCCTGTCCTGCAAGATAAAACCCTCTTGGAGAGGAAACACCTCATGCCTGGAGGTCATTCAGTCGATGGCAGATCGTGGAAAAGGGAAGACCGTAAATCACTTTTGTTGAAACATTAAAAGCTGATAAATAGGTGGTCCAGAGCCATAGCCCAGCCCCGGCTTCCCTGTGCGCAATGCAGGGCTTGAGGTGCTTCCTGGAGCAGCCAGGGGCATGGCCAGGGGAAGTCTGTTTCGGGCTGAGATTGCAGCCGCCAGCCAGGGCATCCACACGGGCTCTCAGAGGCTGCAGGAAGGGACATGGCATGGATTTGCTTTCAGGAAACCCTTGGAGTCACCACAGTAGCCTTGGGAAAGCATAGTGATATAAGCAGCTGGGTAGAGGTCCTTCCCGGGAACATAGCTAGGGATTCACTGGAGCAGATGGTGCGATTTACAGCCCCAGCATCTCCATACCGCATCGGTCAGGTTTCCTAGCATAGGAGGCAGGCTCGCTTGCCAGGGGGGAAATATACCGTGGTATTTTCAGCACTTCACAGGACGTGCGATGATTTTTTTAAAAAAATACACTTGATGACTTGATGAGAGCTGTAGTTAAAAAGTGGGAAATTACTAATTAGTAACCAAGTAATTCAGGGTTTGATTCACACAAATTGCACTATTACAGTAAAGAGGATTGCAGTTTCAGGCAAACACTGGTTTTAGGGTTTTTTTTTAAAAAAGGCACTGAAAATATAATTGATGCTCTGTTCATTACCTGCTAGGTTTCAGGTTTCTTGTACATTTTTTCATCATCTGAGACATTACAGGCATAAAACATGCCTGGGAAAAAAGAAAAAAAAAATTAACGCTTTCCCCTTTGCATTGTCATTTGCGACTCTCAGGTTTTCCCACTAGATTGTTCTTGTAAACTCTTGCATTTCATAGCATGCAAGAGTGACCACTTAGAACATCATCATAACATTATCATTAGCATCAGAGTTCAGTTGCACAGAAAGCTATGAGTGGGATGAACTAAGTATCATTTTCCCTTTTACCTTACCAGAGTGCTAATAAAATGATTGCTGTCAATTCTTCTCGTTAGTCTCAATTTATGAGGAGGAAAAAAAAAAAAGAATTTTCTTCTAGTTAAGAAGTCCAACCAGTAGCATAAAAAAATCCCAAAATGTCTGCCTCCCTTACCTGTATGCAGATCAATAAACAGCTATGTATCTTCTCTCTAGATAGAAAGTCGGTGAAGGGCTAATCTGGGTTGGTTCGTTGGTTTTTTTCTGTTCATCTAGGCATTTCAGCTGGGTACTCAGAAGTGTGGCATGAGTCAGCAGTAAATATTGAAAATATCAGTGAAAGAGAAGCCATAAGCATCCCATTAAGACTTCCAGTAATACTGTAATTTTGTAATGTTGGCAAAAATACCTGTTTTGTAGAAAGAATTATCATAGCCACTGGCTTAAAAATACTCTTTTAAAGGTGGGAAGTCTAGTAAATACCTGCAAGTAACAAGTGGGTCCTCTTAAGTCCATTCTTGTCGAGATTATTAGTGTCTTTCAAATTACACTGTAGGAAAATGCACCCTGGTTTTAACTCATGGCAAGAGAAATAGTTTGGAGTCATGTTGTGTCTACTCGTGTACCTGTATATTGTACTAGCAAAAGAAAATGCTGCAAAGATCCACGTTAAAAAGTAGGAGGAATTTTGCTTCTACCTGCTACACTGCTCAGAGATTTACTGTGCAGCAGTATTATACCAAAATACTGCCGTCTGTTGTCCTTAGCCCTGTATGCCTCTGAATCTTACTTCTCAGAAGACGGTTGTTGTTCACAATAAGGAAAAACAATTCCTTAAAATACTTGAAGTTTGTGCATCTGCACGACTTTCCTTTCAGCAGCAGGTAGAATAATACATACAAATAATCCTTTTTCCCATGTAAGCCCTAAAACAAGCGTGCTTGGTTTGTTTTGAGGTACATAGTATGTTCAAACACAGCACGGGCTTTTGCACTTTTCTACTCAGAGAAACTGAAATGTGAAAATAATGCAAAGAGAATTCAATCTGGTGCTGGACAGAAAGTTATTGAATTACTTCAATGTGTTCAAGTATGAGGGGGGTTCATGTGGTGTTGGGAGAAGCTGATCGCCACCACCATCAGCACCACAAGCCCAGTCCCCATGTTCAGAGGCATTGCCAGTTCTATGTGTGTCAGAAATTGCAGAACATCAGACAGAGAACTTCCTAGCTCAGACAGCTGTAACGAGTCTCTTATGTCCTTCCAGCCTCTGCTCTGCTGTCAGGAGGGGGAAACTTATCTGCAGGCAGGAGCAGCCCCAGCACCCATGTGCTGCCCTGCCACCTGGGGCTGGACCTCCACATGGGTCAAGGATTTTCTTGGGTCTGTGGGTCTGGAATTCAGAAAGTGGTCTTTTCTGTAAATGGCATTAAACGGCTGGTGAAGGGATGTTGTCTTTAGCCATACCTAGAAACAGATTTCTTCTGAAGCCACTGAACATTTTTCTTTCTTCCTTAAGGCTTAAAATTACTCTGATTCTGGTTGAGAAATTAAGTCACTGTAGTTAGTGGCTTGTCTTCGTCGGGTATGGTTCCACCTTGCCCTTCACTTGAGCTGAGGTGTTCACTGTAAATGCAAAGCACTGCCTCTCTGCTGGAGAATGGGCTGGGGTTTTGAGGGGTTTTTCCCTTAATCTGAAAATTAGAGAAGCAAGCACAAAGCCCTTTTTTCACCATTAGAAGACCCAACAGTCACTCTTGCTTTTTTGGCTAAAATCTTCTAAAATTTCCCATGTCCCCATGTTATTGCCTCTACTAAATCAAAAATCGTAGATGCACAGTAGGTGGTTGAAGGAAAGCAGTCCATCTAAAACCTGTTTTGGTCTTGGTGGGGGAAGTTGGCGGGGGTGGCGGGAGTAGGTAGTGGAAGCATGGTGGAGTAAAAGACAGTGGGAACGAACACCCTTCCTGATGCCCTTGCCAAGCAACTTGCTTGGATTTAAGAATTAATAGGCTGCTTGGCCATGGTCCCAGAGTATCCAAAAACTGGGCAGCATCCCACCTCGCCACGTTCGCCTGGTGGCTGTGTTGCTCCTCACCGCTTTATTTGTGTTTTCTTCCTCCCTTCTCCCCTGCAGGGTGTGAACGGCATGTCTGTGGATGAGAAGACTGACTCCCCCATGTATGTGTATGAGTCAACGGTGCACTGTACCAATATTCTCCTCTGCTTAAATGACCAGCGGAAGCAGGACATTCTCTGTGACGTGACGCTGATCGTGGAGGGGAAGGAGTTCCGCGCCCACCGGGCTGTGCTGGCTGCCTGCAGCGAGTACTTCTTGCAGGCCTTGGTAGGGCAGACGGAAAATGACCTGGTGGTCAGCCTGCCGGAAGAGGTACAGTATGTCGCCACGCCCCTGCCGTAAACACGAGCCCCCTCCATCCCGCGCGGTGAGGAGGACTTCCGCGGTCCACTAAGGTGGCAAAGGGAAGCGTGGAGCAGGTGTTGGTGCCTGCCCTGGCACAGCTCTGGGTGTGGGTTTTGTGTTCGGGTGGGTTGCAAATCCTTGAAGGATGGACATGTTCATGCCATCGTTCCTCGCTGGTGGTAACTCCTAACGGTTACAGTGGCAAAGCTTTAAGACACCCAAAAGCTTAATTACCGTAACTTCATTCAGGGCCTTGTCAGCACCCAGATATTCTTCTGCTCTTCCAGACAGGAAATTTGAAAGGGGTGATGTGGCTGCTAGACAGCAGGTTGTTGTTGAAAAATCATGTCACGTTGTTGGGAGTCTCAATGCTGTCCACCCCTCTCTGGCAGCTCATATCCTCATCCTTCTCTGTCCCCTCTCCTGCACCTCATTCAGCCTCGCTTCCTCTTGCCTCCCCTCATGACGAGTTTGGGATTTCACTGCTTTGGGCCGTGTGTTTTCCACTGAAAAAACATGATCGCAGTGTGTCAAAAAGCAGGGTTTTTCTCATGCAGCATGGCTCCCACAGCAGGAAGCCAAGGAACATAGAAAATACATACCTCACTGGAAAGTTTACTTTATTTTACCACAAAATCTCGCTGGCTGGCTTCCACCCCCACTGTAATTTCCTCACAGCCATACAGCTGTGACGGCACAGCTACTGTGGGACACGCCAGTGGCTTTGCTGCCCACAGAGGAGAGGCATGTGCCCGCTGGCCAGGGTTGCCATCACCTGCTACCTTGGCACTGCCTGCCCTGTGTCTCGGGCTGGGACCCGCAGCACAAGAAGGGTGATGATGTACCATGGGCACGGGACGGCAGTTGCTCAGTGGGAAGGTACTCTGGCACACAGAGGGGTTTTCACCATCATTTGCTTAATGCCCATGAAGCAGCATGGTGTGCTTTTAGATGATGACAGGTCCCGAAGTGTCATGCACCATTTTTCCTCCTTTGGTTTAGCTCTCCAGAGACTTCAGCGGCAGCGTGATGTTGTCATGGCACAAGTTGGGGAGCATTAGAAGAAGTAGGTCACTGGGTGTGACTTCATGAGTCTTGGCGCTGAATATTACTCATGAAGAAATTTCAACCCAGACGTTTTGCATAGGAGTTTAGAGATATCGCAGAGGATGCGCTAGGATGCGCACTATGATTCTGCAGTGTCCACTACTGATTTCCAGTGGAAGATTTGAGTCTCAGTGTCACATAGTTTTCACACCACAAAGCAAGGGTAGGAGCAGAGAGGTGACAAAACGTGCCCAGGGGTGCACAGGTGCAAAGAGGCCAGGATGGTATCAGCACTCTTCTACGAAGCTTTGGTGAGACCTTCATGTATGATTCAGGTCCTGTTAGATAAAGAAAAATAATTGAAATTCAAATAAGCATATAGAAGAGTGACTGAGGTGTTCAGAGGAAGGAGCCTGTCCTAAAAAAGAAGACAAGACCATTTCAGATTCATACTGCTGGCATGACAACTGTGACATGCTACAGCTCTGTGTAGGCAGAGGAGATGAAATGGCTGAGAGGAGGAGTTTCCCTTGAACGCAAGAAGACAGTGTTGACACAAGCATTGATTGGTCTCAACTGGCTTTTAGTAAAAGTAGGTTGGAAATTAGCAGATTTCTAGTCACAGCCCCAGTGAGGTGCTGAGCTGCAGGCCAGTGGGAGAAGCAGGGTGGTGGAGGGATCATGATGTGTCCGCACTTTGTGACCTATTCCTATGTTCATGTGATGCTAAAAATTTAAAACACAAAGGTTTGTCTTTCCATGTATTTTATATGAGATACTCCATTAAAAAAATTCCTCCAGTCCAACCATAAATTATTTCTATTTCAGTGAATCTCCTTTGGATAAATGAAGTATTGGAGTTTTACATTTTAGAATATATCTCAATGAAAGATGAGATGACTTAGAATTACACTGGCCTCTGTTACAGCTGCAGTGAAGTCCGTGGATTTGCAGAAGCAGTGGATCTAGTTCTTAAGGTTTTTCCCAGTGTCTGAAATTACCACGCTTCACCTAAGACCACTACTCTTACTTTGCCATGTGCTTCTATTACTTGCAGAGCAGCAGGGCCTTAACTTTCTCGTCCTGGAAAAGAAGTCCCTTAGCCTATTAAAAAAGGTACCTGCAGTTAACCAATGCTTACTTGTACAGATATTTTCCACGTGCAAATTAATTGCTGTTAACTGCATTGAATCTAATTTGCTCAGCTGCTGCATTGTTTGAATACCTATATGTGGGGTGGTCAGTTAAATAATTTCCTCACAAATGGTAGTCACTTGGGGTAAAGAGAGCTGCCTGATGCACTTCATTCTGTCTCAGTTATTCCTTGGTTAAGGTGCATGTCTCTGCTTCTGGCATTGCTTTGCTTCAGTGCTGGGTGCTTTGGTAGATGCCTGTGCGTAGATATGGGAAACGCCTCCAACAAAGAACAGTGTCAGAGCTCCCCAGGAAAGGAACTGAAACCCTCCTGGCTTTTAAGAGCTGATAGAGCAGGGGAAACACCATCTCAATTATATTGCATTAAAAGAAGTTAGCAGGGTCTTTTTCAGTTCACAAGCTAATGGCTCTTCCCAAGGCTATTGTTTTTAGTCCGTGGTCTGCAGATCTCTGGCAGCCCATGAGTTATTTGTAAAGACTTGACTTAATCTATTGTGTAGGGGGTTATTCCTCCAGTGGAAAATTTTCGAACAAAAGTTGAAAGTTGATGTCCTGAGCCAGTATTTTTTTCAGGCTTAGAGACCATTTATGTTGGCATATAGTTGTTACAGAAAAACAGAGATTGAAAGTCATTTTTAAATACAGTCTTCACAGTTCAAAACTTTTCCAAAGGTGATGACCACTCATAAATTAACAAAACTATTTTTAAGTCAACCATAACAAGCATTGCATTTTAAATTCTGGTGCAGTTTGAAAACTGCTGAAGTACACAATTGTGGACAAAGGGCGTTATTATTATTATTTGTCAAAGGTTTGATGTTGGAGCTGGATAGAGCTTTATATATAAATTTTTTTACACTCAGGTAGTATTGGTGTGAGAGAGCTTAACATCAAAACAAAAGAACTTATTTTTGATTATTCAAAGCAGTAAGTCTGACTCTGAAGTCTAAATTGCAGACTTTTTTTTTTACTTCATAATGTGTTGGAGTCTTTTTGTTAATCTGGCATCCAGACATTGTTAACTGTTGTCTAGCTGAGCAGGGGACAGATGTTTTTCACATTATTTCTTGTTCATATCCAATTACAAGTGAGAGCAGTCCTTATGATACGCCAGTCATTTCAGTATGGAGACATTGTGCACACAGAGAATTGGGACTGGTTGAACTTTCAGGGTTTTAAACTGTTGCAAAGCTTTGGGTTAGACATTTCAGGTCAGTTCAAGCGTGACTTAATATGACTCAGTTCAAACCTTTCCCTAATCAACTTAAACTAAGTCAGTGTGAACCTAACTCTCTACTGATTGAAGAGTTTCCATAAGCCCTTTTGTGCTAGCCTTGGTGATTTGATTTCAGACTACACCTTTTTGTTAAAGCAACATGTATTTTAGTGGATAGATAAGTGCTTGGAAAAACAGCCACATAATAACAAGGGCTCAGATGTGGCCATGGTGTGTGAACTATCAGCCCTTAGAGCAGAGTTAGAGGAATGGAGTGTGTCAGCTGCCTACAGCTAAAAAAAAAGGACCCTGTTAGCTCTTAACTTCTGTGCTTTTCTCTTCATTTGCAGTTTTTGGTAAACAACTACAAACTCGCCTGCTTTTCACCCAGGGTATTTTTCAGCAATTTTTCCTCTAGCAGCTGCTGTTAGATGCAACCCAGAATTAATATTTTCCAAGAACTGAGTTTAAAGCTGTAAAGTTAGTCATTCACTCCGTACCCCTAACTGTTGTTTTGTTTTATTTAATCGAGAAAACTGGTCTTCCTTCCTTTAACAAGGCACTTAATTAAGCTTTTAATTCATGATAAGAAGTTAAATGGCACTTATGAGGCTTTTTTAATGGTTTCCACTTCCCATCCAGATTACAAAAAAAGGTGTGATAGAGAGAGAGACACGGCTGTCAGCCAGGGGTATTGTAGGTCATGCCAATATTAGCTGGCAGCAGGCCATTATCCAATTAACATTGCTTCATGGCTGCAAGTAATAGCTCTCGAGTAGATGATTGAGTCATTCATGCTGTAGTGGTACTCTACTTTACTTGAGAAGGAGCCAGTGCTTCGTCAAATAGGCTTTTTATTCGCTGTTACTACCTGCCTGGCTTTGCTAATAAAAGTGCTCAGCAAGTCTACATGGGCAAGCTGAAAGCTGGGTGCTGGATGGAGGAGCATCGTCTGTGCAAACACCTTATTCACTTGGGTTTTTGAAAGCTGAGGCTGCAGTTAAATGGTGAAAATACAGAAACAACTACAACAAATAAAGCCCCTCAGTTGCATTAGATTCCTACAGCGTAGAAGTGAGATTCCCAACCTTGCTTGCATTTTTTTGACTTTGGTGTGTACATTTGAAAAAAACCTTCACCTGGTCATTCCAGCCATGAGAACATCGAATGCCTTTCTCTCTGGTGAAATGTCAAACGCAGGTCTTCTGAAGTAGTAGACCGAGCTTTCTCTAGCACTGGTCTGATACTGCCTTTTCTGTTATACTTGCTTCTCAAGTAGGTTGCTTAGTTTTACCTGTAACCCTCGAATTTCATGAATCTGTTTCAAAGAGTGCTTACTGGTGACTTTTTTTAATGCAATGAACTATTTGCTGAAAATGTTGCTTTCCAAAAGGATTAAACAGAGTTGTCTGTGGCTTACAAATCTTCCAAGGGGCAAAGGGAAGCAGCATCTTT